TCCATTTCCTTCTCATGGTAGGGTCTTTTAGATGTATTTAGTTGAGGTTTATACTGGAGTATGGAGGGCCCTTAATCCAATATAATTAGTGTAGGGTTCTTGTTAGAAGAGGAGAAAGACACATGCGGTGGGGAGAACTCTATGTGAGCACAAACACAGAGAGAGAGATGGTCAAGTGATGATGGAGGCAGAGACCAGAGTCAAGGAATGCTAAGGATGGCTGGTAGCCTTTACAGTGGTTCTCAACCTTCCTAATGCCACGACCCTTTAATACAGTTCCTCATGTTGTGGTGACCCCCAATTTCATTGTTACAAATTGAACATAATTAAAGCATAGTGATTAATCACAAAACAATATGTAATTATATATGTGTTTTCTGATAATCTTAGGCGACCCCTGTGAAAGGGTCATTTGACCCCCAAAGGGGTCGTGACCCACAGGTTGAGAACCGCTGCTTTAGAAGCTAGGAGAGAAGCATGGAGCAGACTCACCCGACCCCACCCCCCTGAGCCTTCCAGAAAGAACCAACTTTGCTGCATCTTTAATTCAGACTTCTAGTCTCCAGAACTGTGAGAGAATAAATGCCTGTTGTTTCAAGCCGCCCAGTTTGTGACAACAGGGCCACCCTAGGAAATCAGTACAAATCCTGGCAAACCTAGATGAGGATGGCAAGGGGATGTGCCACACTGCCCTTAGAGAAACAATTGAAGAAATAGGTGATAATTATCCTAGAGATGTATTGAAACTCTAATATTCACTTTCACATATTTGAAGGCCACTCAGGTAGAAGACAATTTAGACTTAGTCCATTTAACTCTTGAGGTAAGATTTTGGCTTAAAACCCTCTAAAAAATTATAACTATCCAGTAGTGGGCTAGAAAGACCTTCACCGCTAGAATTAAGGAGATGTGATTTTTACATGAGAGGGTCCCTCTCAATTGCTGAGATTCTCTCATGACAACTACATTTATATATCTCAGTGCTATTCTGTGAGGATACAGTATTCTAATAATGGTACCTTCTTGTGAATCTAAGATCCATTTGCTTAGCTGTCCATGGACTAAGATGTCCAAGTTTCCTCAGTCAGTTATCAAGTGCTTGGGCGCTCCTCTTCCTCCTTTATCTATTTGCGTCATCTAATTTATTGCTGCATACAGTATTGTGGACGCACACAGACAGCCTTCAACCAACATGTATTGATGGCCAGCCAACTCTCTGCCAGCCATGTGGACTACCTGGAAAGGCAGGAATGAATGAACTTGCAGCTTTATCCATTTTGCCATCCCTTTCTTGATAGAAGTCAAGCTGTCCTGCAAACCACATGAACATTTCTAGTGGAATCTTCGCTTCTTGACAAGTCATGTTTCATTTTCATTTTTCACATGTCCTCATCCATCAGTATTTGGCAGATCTCTACGGAGCCAAGACTATTTGTAAATCATTGAGTTGGGCATTATGGGAGGACATGAGGATGAACAAGCCATGATTTGTGCCCGTGGGGAGTTCACCAGCTCAGCCCCCCTTCTTTATAATGGCTCCTAGGAGACGCAGGAAAGCAGGACAGCTCGTGTGTTCACTTACCTGAGCATCCCAGATTGTTTTCTAAGTCTGCTAGTTGTCATCCTTCTTTGGGAATAATGCTCAAGACAAGTTCGTCTTTTTTGCACTACATGCTATGAAATTTTGGCAAAGACGGTCTTCCTTTTCTCCCAAGTTCCTAGATCTTTCTACTGTTTGAACCTGGATAATAATCCCCTTGGCTTGAACAGATTATCTTCTGGGCTTGATAATAGACATTATCTGTTACCTTTAATGCAATGCAAAGGCCCAACTGTAAACTTTTAAATAGGCTTCATGTAAGAGTAGGCGAAGATGGGTAGGATTATAGTCCACAAGGACTGAAACCACTTTCTTTTTGCTCCACTGAGTGCATATCTTCCCTGTCGTCCTGCCTACTGCTTTATCGTTTATCTTGTTCCTCTTTGCCAAATAAACAAATATAGGCATCGGCTGGAAGGAGATAAGGTGCAGTGACCCCTTTTCTGTCCATCACCTACAAACTGGAGCCTTGCAAACTGACTTGCTGGCAGCCTGGCAAGAAGCGGTGCTGGTTCTCTGGGAGCCCAGGGCCTTGGCCCGACTGCGGGGCCTCGGACTGCACTAGTGGCCGGGACTTCACAATTGTCAGTGAGTCTGACGGAAAGATGTTTTTCATCTCATTAGTGACATATTTTAGCATTGATGGGAACAAATGAATGACAGGGAACTTGTTGATATTAAAGGAGACTTGCACTTGAGTAAAAATCCAGAATTTCTACCACTGCTCCTGCAGAAGCTCCAAATACCGGGAGGATTTCAATTCATGTCTGACTTTCCTTCTCACGCTCCTCTGCCACCACATCTAGATCACAGGGCTGAAGTAGCGTTATGGCTGGCGCACATGGCCATTCAACCAACAGGGGTCAGCCCAATCCCACACTCAACTGCCTTAATCCCAACTGCCTTTCTGCTTTCATAGAGCCTCCAGTAGGCAAAGCTCTGGACACCTCCACTAAGCCGCCTCCATCAATGCCTATAGACCTAGACGACACCTTGGGTAATCTGGCTTCACTCAGGATTGAGTTTCTAGCTTCCACAATTTCTTTACTTCTAAATCTTGCTATACTATATTCTTCTCAAGAGCAAAAGGGAATGATATATTTTGGAAAAACAGTTGGGAGAATCCAATTCTGTGTTTCAGTCACCCTCTCCCTATTTCTAATTTTTATATGTTTACTTCAATGGCCCACAAAGAGAAATGTAGCACCCCACATCATAAATACATTTTCATGTCTACGAGTCTGAAGCATAGCTCCATTAATTAAAAAAGTACCCTCAAATTGGCAAGTGTCACTGAAGACTTAAATTAGAGAATAAGATTTACTATAGTTGGTAGCTTTTGGACAAAACTGTTTGCCTTTTCTTTCAGTTTAACTCATTTAGATCTCTTCATTTTGTGAACAGCACAGATTTAACAGGTGACCCATCTGTATCCTTAACTCTGAGATAGCAATGAAGATTTCTTTCTTTCTTTTTTTTTTTTTTTGCGTTAGCTTGCTGGCCTGCCTTAGATCATGACAGGCTGCAGGCTGACCTAACCAATCACACAGCACAAACATGACTTACTCAGCTTGTCTGGAGAAAGAGAATGCAAAATTAGTATTAAGAGAAGACATAAGCAATAGAATAGTTGGTTAAACATTATAGCTTGTAATAAATGAAAATATTGAGTGCATTTAAATGATTAATGTATGAAAATTGTCATCACTTACTGTGCATTAATAAAAGAATGCACGCTGCCAATAGTGGTTAATGTTGCAGGCCCATCACTCGGCTTGGGTAGCGTGCATAGTAATGCTTAGTATGACAATGAGTTGGGGTAGCTGAAAATTTAGGATGGTTGCAAGTTTGTGTAGTATTTGGATTAGCATCTTAAACTGTGCCTTGTCAGCCTCATAGTACACAGCTATACATTTTTTTTCCAAAACTAGCAAAAATATGAATGCATCTTTTTAATTTTTTTTACTTTTTCTTTTTTTTCTTTTAATTGAGAATAATGACCAAGGTACCTGCTTAAACAAATACTACCAGCATTCATTAGTTAGGATGGTTACATGTAAAAGAAATGATGCCAGATAGTAACAAATCCAAGAGAAGTTTATTATGAAAATGGCACCTGCGGATGAAAAAATTAAGTTACATAAAGACAACCATGTATGTGACATGTATGAGAATCTACAAAAGTATAAAAAGAACCCTGTTGTAAATGAAGTATGTACATTTCTGATTTGCAGCATTATCAATGGTCAATGAAAAAAAAAATGTTTCAAAATAAGCCAGGCACTCAGGAAGTTAGGTCCGGTTAGCTTCACACAAAACAAATGTATCATAGCTGTCGCTTTGTAATGTTTTAATTTTTATATATATATGTGTGGTAGAGTTGGTAACACTGCTAAGATTTTTACAAACAGAATATCCCTTTCCCCATTATTCAGCTACTTGGCACCAGTCTCCTCATAAAAGTTTTCATATATTTGTACAAGAAATAGTTAAAAACACAGACAGACACAGTCTTCACAGGTAATGAAGTTTTTTTTTTTTTTCGTTTTGTAATTTTAACACTATGGATTTAGACAGCAGCTGTGATTATCTGTTAGTTTAAATCACCAGAAATCATTTTGACACAACACAGAAACATTTATAAAAGAAAAAAAAAACAGCTATTTAGCTGTTCTTTGTAGCTGATAGGTGCATTCCTTTGATTGTTCGATAGCTAGAATAGAGCTTCCAAAATTAATGTTTAAATTTTGTGGTTAGCCTTCTTCCTCTTCTAAACCTAGTAAATCCTTGAACTAAGTTATTAAACGATGACTTTTTTTGTCATTATTCCACAGTGGTTTGGGCCCAACTCATGGAATCAAAGATCCTAGAGGAATTCACTCAACACAGTGATATTCAAAGGACAGCTGAGTTACTATAGTAGCATTGCACACATAAACAAATATGACAATTCTATATTCCAGTATACCTTCCCCTTCTGTTTTTAAAAAATCTTGGTTGACCTTTGAACTAATTTTCTCTCTCACTGGTAATTGCTTTATATATTGCTCCATCAGCCAACCTGGAAGGAAACCAAAGAAAAGCACCCACTGCTTATAGGTAGAGCACAAGGGACTCTGGGAATGTTAACAACTGAGGCTATATGGCATCAATTTATTGAATATATCTGAGCATTACTCTTCACTCTGGAAGAAAGAGTCTTACCAGAATTCCATGTGGGAAAAATGGCTCCATTAACCTTGAGCTAGTTAAGAGTCTTTTTATCTCTGAGAATGAAAAAGGTTTTGGAGAACGGGGAAGGAAAGATGAGGAAGGGAAAGGGGAGAGGAGAGGGGGAGGGAAAGATAGGAGGGGTCGGGAGAATATACACCAGCT